AAAGAGGGAGAACGGAGAAAGAAAGAGGAAAAAAGGAAAAAAGAGGGGGAAAATAAGAGGAAAAAAATCCCCCTCCCCAAATTTTCTTCCCCCCCTCCCTCCTTTTTCCATTATTTTCTTTCCTCCCCTCCTCCGCCATGAGTTCTTACGTCGCCAACTCGTTCTATAAGCAAAGCCCCCCCGTGCCTGCCTATACCATGCAAAGTTATGGAAATTATGGAAGTGTGCCGGAGGTTCAGCCCCCCAGGTACCGCTACGGCGGCTCGGAGCCCGGCATCACCCTCCCCTCCGCCGGGGCTGCCACCTCCCTCAGCGGCGCGGAGATGTCGGCGACCCCCCCGGCTAACCCCGAGCGCCCCTCCTGCACGCTGCTGGCTGCGGGGCACCCCTTAGAGGAGCCGGCATCCCGAAATCCCGGGATTTACAGGCAGAAGAGTGCAACCCCGGCGCTGGAGGAACGATCCCAGAGCTCGGGGGGAATCAAAGCCGAGCCCCTGCAAACACCACAACCGGGAGGACCACAACTGCAGCAGCAACAACAACCTCCACAAATTTACCCCTGGATGACCAAACTGCACATGAGCCATGGTAAAACTTTCACTTCTTCATTTTTTTTTTTTTCTTTTGGGTTTCACAGGATTTTTTTTCCCCCCCTTTTTTTTTTTTTTTCCTTTGGTTTTTATAGGGCATACGGGGACAAATAATAAAAAACCTGAGGTCGTAAATTTTACGACTAAGGCATCAATTGCTCGTAAAACTGTCCACTAAAAGGCTTAGAGGCTATATACGCCCAAATTTATGACGGCATAATTGGATCATAGAAACAAAACGTGTATAAAAGGCAATATTCCATTTTTTTGGGAAGGGGGGGTTAAAAATAACTTGAAATACACATGTTCTTTGAGGGTGAGCTTTAAAAAAAAAAAGAAAAGGCAAAGACACCAGAAGTGAAGGGAAAGCGTGGAGGGATTTTTTCCTCCTTTCAACTTCTCAGGGCTGAGAACTTGGGGAGGGGGGGGGAGCAAAAAAGAGACCAAATCCCCGGGAAAAAAAGTGATTTCCCTTCTTTGTACACTTCTTTATTCTCCGAGAGGAGCCAGGTTCAGCTCTCGCTCGTCTCCATGCGTTTGATCTGGGCTTTGGACAGGAAGAGGGAGTCCTGGGGGGGCCGAAGGTGTTGGGGAATGAAGGATTTCAGGCTGCTCCTGGTGCCCACAACCCCAGCGAACTTTTGTTCTGCCTTTGTAACCGGCTTTTATCATTAAAAAACAACAACAAATAATAATAATAATAAAAATGTATCATCCATCCAGAATTGCTTTGGCTTTTCGTGCGGTGTCTCCCCCTTTATTTGATTTAATTTAATTTTAATTTATTTTTCCCC